CCCCAAAACCCCAAAACCCCAAAACCCCAAAACCCCAAAACCCCAAAACCCCAAAACCCCTTTCAACTTATTTTATTTGAAGATTTTATAAAAATAAATCAATTTGAAATATGAACAGAAGACGCGATAGAGTTCATCACTGAGGTCTAACAAACATTGATTTTAAGACCAAGGGAGATTCAATTGCAATGCAAACTTATAAGCCGACCTTGAAACATGCTAATTTTGGAACAATGGGTAAAACAGGTTTCAGAAGTAACCCATATTCAACATTTATGAATACTAAGAAAAAGACAGTGATGGGAGGATTGCCTGAAGTTCCTGATCCAAAAACTCAGACAACACAGCAATTTTATATTCAACAGGGAAAGAGGATTCATGCTCCCACTGCAGTTTTGGGAAAGAGAACAACACAGTTAGAAAAAGAGCACTGGAATGATAACGTATTCACTGGGGATAAGGCAGATTTTCAAATTGACCTCACTGCTAAAGCAAAGAAAAGAATTAATAAATTAGGCTTAGACCAAACTGGGAAAAGGAAGGTAGCTAGACTAGATGATGCGCCTCCTTTAGCAGCTACTGACCGTAAAGGATCTAGAACTGCTGAAGCTACAATTACTAGCCCAATGAGGAGATCAGCCATGGTCAAGCCAACGACTTTTTCTAAAATAGATGTTCATGCATCTGCTGCTCAAGAAACCCAACTAGTGAGATTAGATAATAAACAGACCTTAGCAGGAAAAGTTGACTTGAAGAAAGTAAGAGATATTAGAAGAGCTATCAGAAGACGCTACTCTACAAGGAAAAATCCAAACAAGCTGTTCCACGCTTGGGACCAAAAACAACAGAAAAAGATCGACACTGACGATATCTCAAAAATGGTTAATAAAATGGGAATCAAAATTAACAAAGATGAAGCTTATGTACTTCTCAAGAGTGCTGATATGAATGGAGATGATGCATTAGATATCCAAGAATTCATCAATCTTATTCACTCTTCCAATGAAGCTTTGGATGTTGATCTAAAAGAATTAGCTCCGTTAAGTCAAGAGATAAACAAACAAGGAGGAAATGCTTCTGCTGCTATAAACCATTTAAGTAAAAATGCATCAGATCAAAACGAAAACAGAATGAACAACCAGATGAAGTATTATCTTCAAAAGAGTACTCAACCAATAGCTAGAGATTGATTAGACGAAGATGAAGGACACGAAGGGAATAAGACTTATAAAATTGATAGAAAGAAGTTCAAGAAAATTCTTCATCATCGACTGAACCTCCCAGAAATTCTCAAAAATGATGAAGATAGGCTAGACAAACTCATAAATGAATATACAATTGACGATAACAACGAAGTCATTGATTATAAAGCAATGCTAGAAGAAGTAAGAGCATTTAGTTATGATATTGAATCCACAAATGTCCAAAATAATGATAGAAAAGTTTTGTCTCCTCACCAAAGCGAAAGTGAATACTCTGAACCAATCGAGCATTCGACTACTCCCATGTTAACAGTGCTTGATATTCAAAAAGTTCCTTATAATAAGGAAGAGGAAATAAAATAAGAGAAGTAATAAGATTAATAGAATGATCCAAAAGAAGTTCCAGACCCAGGCCGCCCTCGACCAGTACATCAGACAGAACATCGATGCTGATAGAAACGGAACGGTAGACCTCACCGAGTTCCAGAACCTGGTCATTTCGACTCTCAAAGACTCCATCGAGAACAGCGTCATCGGCAAGAAGGACGTGGAGTGCTTCTTAAGCAACTTCGTCTACAACAAATACGGCCACACTTCGGTCGACGAAGTTGCGTCCAGGATATTCACGTCGGGCGACGAGTACAACAGGATAATCGACCATTTCAGGAAGCCGAAGCCTCCGCCCTCCAAAGTCAACTTCGGGCTCGAGTCGGCCCAGAAGGACGGAGGGCTGGCTGTTGGGGCTCAGAACGAAGCGTTGTGATGAAAGATCGTTGAGAAGGCGCTTGGAAACTCCCACAGTAAATTTCAATGATTCAAATCATTTGACAATGATAATGACGGCTATATTTCTTACCAAGATTTCGTCAAATCAGTCAATAAAATGGGTATTAAGGGAAGTAATGAAGAGATTGTTTCGATTGCAAAATCAATGGACCCAGATAAAAATGGGTTTATTGATTACAGACACTTCATGCAATACTTCACTCCATCTTTACCAGACATAGTCAAGAATCCAGCTCCATTTATGAGAAAGAAAGCTATAAACACATCGGCTAATGGAAATCTCATTCCAAACTCAGATTTGCTACGTGGACAAATCAGTCGTTCAAAGAGTACTAAGAATGACTTCATGGCAGTCACAAACGGATTCAAGGTAACTTCAGATATTCAGATGAACTTGAAACCATCTTCTCGTTTCTCTGCGACGCCTCAATGGAAAAGTACCTTTGATCATTATCATCAGGATCCTTCTTCAGCAGGCTTTATTTCAGAAGCTGATAGGTTTAAGAAGACCACTAATAGTTTACATGTTAAGAACGCATTCCAAGTGGATGACAGAGCTAGAAAGACAGTAATATCAGAAAGTAGAGTTAACAGAAAGAGAAATGTCTTTGGAGCGACTGACTGCAAAGCATTCAACAACGACGTTGCTCACGATGCCTTTGACCAGAGCAAACTAAACAGGAAAGCCGCTATTTTCCAGAACTATGAACGGTTGTGCCACTCCAAGATAATTTAATGCGATTCAATCGCCAAAGACGAGAAAGGGGTTTTGGGGTTTTGGGGTTTTGGGGTTTTGGGGTTTTGGGG